CTTCTCATTTGAAGACTAGCGAGTTTACACTTTTCCAGCCTCCTCCTAAGAAACCTTGCTTGGTATATCTCAATCTCAATCTAAATCTAAATAACCAAGTACCTAACTAGATACTCCATGACTGCATGCTCTTTAATCAATCATGTAGTTATACGTGTGTGTGTGTGTGTGTGTGTGTGTGTAGCCAACCCCAACTAAAACTGGAGAGTAATCAGTTTCTTTTGACACTCCCCTCTTCTAGGTAATTGCAATCACTTTGGGCACCGTCATGTCTTGCCTTAGGGGCGCAAAAGTCAGGCTACCTACCTAGACAGGTCTTCTTTGTCGCCTTCCCCCGCATGGCGGTAATGTTTATTGTATGTGACGTACGGTACTTCGCCCAGCCGCGTTACACAAGCAAGCCCCGGAATTCTATTTTGAAGACTACCGATGAGACATGGCGAACAGGGTACAGGGATAAGTTAGTGCATTATTTGCCTCTCTTTAATCTCGTTTTCCCTTTTCCGGGAGGATGGATAAAGAAGTAACTCAATGAGGAATAGATACCTAGCAAACTGATGCCCGTCTATCGCTTAAGTCAGGTTAACGACAAGACAAGAATATGAGTATTGAGGGTTAGACCGGGGATCGAGGACTCGCTTGTTTTGTCCGCTTTCGGTTTAAGGCCATCATCGGGCTAAGATAAGGTACGTCAGGAGTAGAATACTATTCTGTTCTGGACGTAGTATGAAGGACAGTCAGTTAGTTACTGTAGTAGTGTACCTTAGTAGCACATTCCATGCTTTAACTTGGTTAGTCCTGTCTGGGGTGTTTTTCTTCCTTGTCCTATCCATTCTAAATGGGGGTTGAATGGGTCGGAGAAAAAAAAAATAATAATCAAAGGGCACGAAAATGTAAAGCTGAAGGATCAAACAAGGCTACTGATCCCTCCTGGATCTAGTTTCTCTAGCTACAGATTTACTCCGTAGTTTACTTGACCATAAGACAAGAAAATCCCAGTCCGTCTGCATCTACCTACTCCGTACCTACCTTCCTACTTTAGTCTCGTCGGGTAAAAACGGCGCACGAGCGAAAAGAAAACAAATTGACATAGCCAAGGGCTAGCAAGATTTCCTTTCCCGCCCGACCGACCCAAAAAGAGGACACCAGAAGAGAAAGAGAAAGAGAGAGAGACTGGCTTCAATCAACGAAGCATGTACTGAATACACAGTACCCGTACAGAGTAGGGAAGGACAAGAAAAACAGGGTCCATCCCAGCACATCAATAAGGTTGTTACATGACCATGAGGTGGCCCCCCTTAGTGCAGTTTCATAACAAATTCCGGTGGATTTTCAAGTCCATCGGACCGACGGACAGAGGATTGAGTTGATTAGATACAGGACGTGAGATTGGGTTGGTGGATGGGAGATTTGGCGTTTTCTCTTCGTTCCTTTTTTTCTTTCTTTCTTTTTTTTTTTTTTTTTTTTGTCCACCCCTCACGGAGTGGGAAGTCTGCCTTGCAAGGCAACCTTGCCTTGGTGGAAGCTTTATCGCGTTTACTCGGGGTATGACCGTACGGACTTTCTACGGAGTCTGAAGGGGGGAGAAAAGGAAAGAAAAGCAATGGGCTGAGTGGCTGAGTGCGAAAGGCCACGCGAGAGAAACGGCAAACCCGCGAGGTGGTCCAAGCAAGGGGGGACTGGAACTCACTACTCCGTAGAGGGAGAGAGGGACTGAGAATGTACAGACGCAATCCATGCAAGAATATCACCTATGCTCGCCTCTCTCTCTCTTTCCCCTTGTCCATATCCATGTCGACTTTCTAAATATGTAGTGAATCCCCCTAGATCGTACAGTAGCGAGACGATAGTTCCGCCAAGAAACCCCGTAGGAACCCTGCTCCGAGATAAGTCGTGCATGGGCGCAAGTTTCATCGATCCTCGTTCAATATAACTCCAACCGGTCATAGGGCGATATGCTCTCCCCTCTTCTTTTTTCTTTGCTAATTGCTTCCCTGTGAATCTCACTAAAGAAGACTAGACTGGGTGCTAGACTGCTAGCCAGATAGCGGGCCCCTCCTCTAGGACAGGGACGGGGCGAAGGATGGACTGGACCTTACTTTAGGGGTTAGTTAGACGATCACCGTGAGCGGGAAAAGGGAAGATCGGTTGATTTCATGGATTGCCTTCCCCCGGCCACTAGTATCCGTTTTAGGAAGTAAACCTGCAGGTTTGGAACAGTACTTGGTTAGTGTTGGTTAGTTAATGGCCGCAAATTAGTCATGGGGGAGATGGATTGACGGACCTCCGACCTCCGTGGGACCGGGACCGGGTCGAAGAACCATAGTGGATTGGATCTAAAATCCTTCTGATATTGGCTAGAAAACAAGGCTTACTCGGGATAATTAGGAGATATCATGAGCGAAGATAGTTGCAGTTGACGTGGAATAGCAAGTACGCCCATGAGAGACTCCTCTACAGTAAAATCGCCCATGCAGAGAGCCATGCAGGGCTACTGGGGTACATACATACTACGTACATCCGCCATACACGGCGAACTCCGTGAGGGACCACAGATAGTGCCGAACGGAGAAACAGCACCGACCCGGGCTGTCCACTGTCCACTGTGTGTCATTGCAAATCGTAACTCCCTAGCGGCATTCAGGAACCATAGGACTGAATCCCGCCGTTGGCTTGGTTTCTTGGAGCAAATCTGCTCACATTTCCCCACCCAGCCTTATCCCCAACAGGCAGGTTCTCGGCTCGTCCCCGTCGCCCGTCAGTCAACGACAGTCGTCCGTCTTTTTGGGTCAAACTCAAGCTAAGCAGAGCTATGGTTAAGGATTCCGCTGCCACCACCGACTTGGCGGGGAACGTGACCTTTTGGAATTTCGGAGTTAATGGATATGGTTTGGAGGGCTGAGAGGAACATGGAATAACATTATGATGGTCCCCGAGGGTCGGTGATAGTGGGGAGACGGGTTTAGTCGTGACAGCTGCGCCCTCTGCGAGACGATGGATGACATGGATGATCCGGTGAGTAACGGCAGTCATCACTAATCAGCGACATGTCAAGCTAGGTGAGAATGCAATCACCAGAGCATCGAATAAAAGGAAAAGCCGAGATCTGCGAAAGTTCCAGCATCTCTGGTAGAGAGCGAGGCTTAGACGGTCTCCTCAAACCTTGCCCAGAAAAGAAATAAAAAATTAAATAAAAATAAATATGGGATGAGACGGATTCTGGTGGGGTTCCCACACCGTCGGTGTGGATTGATCATCTTTCCCGGCGATGGGATTCTTTGCGATGAAGGAAGGAATAATAAGGAATGAATGGGGGAATCAAATTGAATTTTAGGATTAATCCCCTTCCCCAGTCCAGGGCCAAGAGGAAATGAAAATGAAATAAAAGATAAAATAAAAAAAGATGGCCTGGTCCCTTGGGTCTGGCAGTCTGCGCTCCCCGTCAAATTAGACTCCGCTTTTTGCAAGTCCACGGTCCAAGCATCCTTGGGTGGCCAGTAGGAAGGTCGTGCAGGGGACGAAAAGGGTGAGGGATGGGTGGTGGTGGTGCTGCCATGTGGCCCAGCATTCTTCTGAGGGTCTGGGATGACCCCGGTCCAGCTGAGTCGATGGGGGGTACGGGGGGTCATGCCAGACCGGACCAGACCCAGACCTTTCCCCCTTGGGTTATTGGAGAAGTACTTCCATCTAGGGTCTTGCGCTAAGCTGTCAAATAAATATGAGGAATAAAGAAAACGATTAATTCAAGTTCGAAATAAAATAAAATAAAATAATCGTCTTCCACAGTACACCACACGGGTGAAAAGAGGCTCAACTATTCAAGATCCTCCGTTCTCTCTCGCTCTAGTCCACTGTTAATTAACACTCTTGTTATGGTTCTCCTCCCTCTCTCTTTCTCCCTCTCTCGTCCTCATCTGCTCTCTCTTTTCCCTGTGCTTGCGGTCCCCTTCCCCACCGTGCATCCCATGCTAGGGCTTCTCTAGTCTCTTGTCGACTTCTCTGACCTGTATCCTTTTCTTTTTCCTCTCCTCCCCTCGGCCATAGATTCAGATCTTGTACTCCGTACAGTACATTGTCTCTAGTCGATCAGGGTCTGACCGGCTTGTCTCGTGGCGCTCGAACATATTGCCCCAGAGATTGACGACTAGTATTTTATTTGATCCTAGTCGATTTTCCTTCATTTCACTTTCTTATTTTTAATTTCTTTTCTTTTCCTTTTTTTTTTTTTTTTTTTCTTCTCTTTTTTATTTTTGGGCCCGGGTTTTAGGACCATTGTTCTACTTGTTCCCCTAACTTGGATGATCTGATATCGTCATTCTATTTGATTTATTTTTATTGCCTCCCGCCCATTGTTTCTTTTTCCTGGGAATATTTCTGGTTGTAATTTCCCCCCCAAAAAATCCATCCTTCAGCTGAGAGGAAAAACGCGCCAGTGGCTGCATGCATTCTTACCGGACTGCTGGTCCTGCACCCTCTTATACTCGTCCACCTCCTCCGGTTCCTGCCTGATTGCTCCTGTCGACCCTCGAACTAAAATTTATCCCCCGACCTACTTTACTCCAGTCCCTTACCGTTTTCTCGTATTCTCCACGTGCATCCGTTCTTCATCTCCTGGCTCGTCTTTCTCCACCTTGGGGCTGCGGCTCGAGGTTATTTTTGGATTCTGCATTGGCTGGGGCTTTCTGACTTGCCTATATACTCCTCCTCCATTCCTCGACTGTCCCCCTCCATCTTCTTGATCCTTACCTCCCACTCCCCACAACGCCTGGCATTATTCCGACTGTTGTCAAGCCTGCCCGTTGCTCCTGTCTATATATTGCTCGAGTGTTCTTATCTGATATCTTCTCTACTTTCTCCACCTCACACCTTGGCTGCTGTAGGTAGCCTCCACTCTTCTATACTCATCTTCGTCCTTCGGTCCTCCACCTTTTCACATCAGACATAATGGCCGGTCCCGGTGGTGGTCCTCCTCGCAAGAGCCACACCAAGTCCCGCTTCGGATGCAAAACGTGCAAGAGACGACATATCAGATGCGACGAGAGCTTCCCGCAATGGTAGGTAAACCTTGGAGATGCAACTCTGCGGTTTGTGGCTGCACAGAGACTGATTCCCAGGACAGCCGAAACTGCACCAAACACAACTGCCGCTGCGATTACATGGATGTCGCTACTGTCCACGACGAAACATCCGCCACGCGCAAAGTCCCCGACCTTCTCATGTCCGCCGAAATCGAGGTGGAAATCAAAAACTGGCACATCACCGGCGTGCCTCCCTTCCCCGAACTGGTACACTTCCCACGCAGCGGTTGGAGTCGGCTATCGCGAACCGACCTCCGCCTGATTCACCACATCATCGGACTTTCGATCGATCTTCATCGTCGCGGCTTCAGCAACTGCACCATCTGGGCGCAGAAGATGCCATCGTAAGGCAACCGGATACCTTGAACTTGGGTGGCTCTTAGACGTACTAAATAGTCGAGCAGATTTCTCTCCATCGCGCTCTCCCACGATTTCGTTATGAGTTCGATTCTGACACTGTCGGCTTCCCACCTCGCCTGGATCACTCGAAATAAAGAAACCAAACAACTGGCCTATCACCACCGCGGTGTTGCAATTCAGGGCCTGCACAAGGCGATCGGCGCCTTTTCGAGGACAAACTGCGAGGCGATTTTGGCTGCGTCTATTCTTCTCTCTTGGCAGGCTTCCGAATGGTAGGTATCACTATGAGGGTAAATCTGAAAGAGGCGAGACTGACGACTTTTTTAGGCAAAGTTGGGCTTCTCTGCAGCAGGGCCTTACGACGGTTCTGAATTCGATGCCTCCGATGTGGAAACAGGAATCGGAGTTGGCCATGTTCCTAGAAAACCAACGTTATCTAGGATGTACAAATACCCCAGTCATGACTGGCTATCAGTTCCAAGATGAGGACTTGGCCAGCCTCGACAACACTATCTTGGCACTTCAAAACGTACAGAAACGCGTCGCTCACAACCCCGAACACTATCGCCGGATCGGAGAGCTCCTCGAGTTTGTACGCCACTTCCAGCGAGATCTCTTGTCGCAAACCCCCGAACAGGCTTTTGAGCGTGTGCAGCCGCTGCGTCGGTGGCTGTTTTGGTTGCCCCCGGCCATGCTCCGTGGCGGAAGTGCGGATTTGGGAGCTCTTGCCATAATAGCTCAGTTCTTTGGTATTGGCGTGACGTTGGACAGCCTGTTCCCCGACCTGGGAGGGGCGTATCTAGGCCCGCTGTCTGTCGCACCGATTGAGGAGATCTACCGGATTATCGTCACACGAAGCGCGGCGGATCCGTTCAACCCCGACTTGCAGGTTGCCTCCGCTCTGATGGAGTTGCCGCGACATATTGTTTCCAAGTACAAGAGCCGTCTCCAGTGGTCACCGCGGACTTCGATCGACCATTACTCGCCGGCACCCCCGAGTCCGTACCACAGCATCCAAGATTACCGTCTTGCCTCTTCTTCCTCTCCGTCCTCTACTTCCGCCACCTACGCGCCCTACACTCCGCCTTTGCAGTCACCTCCGGCAGTTACGATTGCCAGTTCCCCATTTGATGTGATGGGGGCGTACGTCACAGCACCGGGCACCCAGAATCTCTATCCACCGTCACCTCGGCTACTTTCGGATCCTCGCGAGGATCTCTCGGATTATAGCCACAATAACGGTTCACTTCAGCATTCGCCCGCCTTCCCACCGCCGTACATCGACGATGTGGTGTGCGGGGGAGTGGATACGTCGCTGGGACTGAACCTCGAGCTTTACGAGGAGCCCCATCCACTGGTCGGAGGATTCAGCGGGCCCGAGCCCGTTTGGAACGGAAGCATCTGCACGTAAACAATAGCGCAGGTGATGTTTATTTTTAGCGCATTTTATTTCTTTCTGTTGTTCCTTTTCTTTTCTTCCATATGTCTATTTATACCATCTGACCGAAAGGACATTTTGATTGGGTCTGAGCTTGACTTGCATTAACTTCTACGGCGAATAGAGAGGATGGGGGCTATTCTATCTGACATGGGGCCTGAGTGGCAATCCGTGTGATGGTTTTTTTTTTTTTTTTTTTTTTCTTGTTTTTTCTGTCTGATTTCCGGGATTGGAAATTATTTATTTCTGTGAATTTGTCTCGCATCTCTTGAATACTCGTTATGATACCGCGATGATCTCGGGGGTGTGATTAAAGGAAAGGAAACGACACCAATGAGCGCATGGGAATTGATTGATACCAGGATTTAAAATGTCATTTTCAAATATTTAGCTAATTCAGTATATACCCTACTTTGGCGTCAGAATCTCTTCGTGTTCGATATGATTATAATTATGATCTTCATGATGCAGCATGAATTCTCAATCTTCCGTTCCAGTACGGAGTATTAACAGTCCAAGGCCAGTAGAACTGAGGATAGAATAGGATAAAAATAGCCCGAATGGACCCTGATCTAACCCCATGAAGACCTGAAACGACCGGATCGACGAGACGATCTCTTAGACTCGGAATGGCTCGGGGCGGAATGTGTTTGAACTGTGAACTGTGAACTCATGAACGCTTCATTCTGGAGTTAGCTCCTCTTCTCTTCTTCTCCTCCCCTTCCTCTCCCCCTCCCTTGGCATGACCACGAAATGGGGGCCATCTGGAAGTAGTCATGATGATCCGCACCACGTGGGCATCGGATATATTTAGATCCTGCACTAACTTTAGGTGCTCGAAATCGGACGAGAGGGAGGGAGGCATATCTCTCCGTCCAGTCAGAAGACAAGCACATTCCATTTTCCGTCAGAAGTTAGTAGGTATAACCCCTCTTATTTACCGGGCGTATACTGGACCCTAGACACTAGATACTAACTACGGGAAAGGCAAGCGAGAACTAAGGGATGATGAGCACTGCAGTTTGCCTGATCTGATTGCAATGGATGATGTATTGCATATACACTAAGGTAGCTATACACACTCCTAGCGAGTAAACCATAGTGAGTCTACGGCACACGGGGAATTTAGATCCAGGAACGACGGGACCAGCGAGGGGTGAGTACGAGGTCTATCCTTGACCTTGTAGCTTTCAATACTGAATGCACTACACCGTATGGCGTATGCAGAGTTGAACTTAGGCTTAGACCCCACGAGGAGAAGAATTTACTCCCCGGCCCCCTCCCCCCTCTTTTTTCTCTCCTCATGATACTGATAGGTTGATCATAGGGGTAGGGCACTAACTACATAGGTAGAGGAGGTCAGGTCAGGTCAGGCCATGTGGTTCGGTTCATGCATGCAGACATGGATGCATGTCACTCCTTCCCTTTTCACTTTCCCCTTGGTCCTTGTGAACAGGGTATAGACTTCCTGGACAGGGATTAAATTAGGCGATTGACAAGGAAAAGGGAGGGCAAAAAAGGGAGGCGGAAAATTAAATTAAATCAAATCAAATCGAATTAAATGGGTGGTGAAGATTACTTACAGTACTCGGTTTCTTTTCCCTTGCCAGTTTTTTGTTTTATTTATTTGTTTGTTTGTTTGTTTATTTTTTCTTAGTGCCTGTTTGGTGCCTCGCTTCTCTGCTCGTATCTGCACCTGCACACTTGCACCTGTGGATGTAGGGAGATGTCGGATGATGCATAACTATGATTATTTAGTATATATGGTCTGATCGGTGGAGATGTCACGCTTAAGGTACCTACATACACCGATAGATTACTTACTTATTCAATACATAACTACCGAACCACCCGCTCCATCCCAATTACTAGACAGGGGTAAGTCCAGGAAGTAATCCCTCGCCTGAAAGACGATCAGTTCACTAATAGCAATATCACATCTACCCCGTCTATAGTATCCTGTCCTCGGGATAAACGGATACCAACCAGCCTTGACATGCTAGACTATACTAAATCCGGAGACTCGTATCCGGACCATCGTGCTTTAATCTGATCCAATCAGTTAATCTTTCGATTTGGAGTACTTTCTAGTTCCTTTTCACTGTATTTGGGGAAGTTAGACCGGCTTAGTCTTGAGGTTTTTCTTTGTCTTGAGGATAGGGTGACGATGTACGGGATTTGGTTAGTGGGATGTGGAGGATGCTATGTATGGAATTATTATCGATTGGAGTGGAAGAGTTGAAAGGAACTGTAGTTTGCGAGCCCTGAGGTCTGGATCTCTGGAGGAGGTCAATGCAGGTGATTAGAGATTTTGTTTCGGTCTAGCAGTCGTATGTATATTCTTGAACAAAGCTTTCGATATATTGACATCATACGCTCTAAAGATACCCGCCCTACCAAATCCATAGTCACTTATGACATTGAATATCCCGACAACATATTCCCAAAACCATGTCGTAGAGGAAAAGGATATAGCAATATGAGATAATACTGTTATTAACCTGCCATGACTACTAGTTATCAACATGGCGATCACCGCTTACATAATCAACGAAATGACGTCGCTTAGTAAAACCAGTCAAACATCCGGCGTTAACTCAATTCGGCAAACCAGTCGGCGTCAAGTTCATCATTCCCTTCGAGCTCCATCTCTGTCCACCATCTTTCTTATTATCAAGAATAGATACACCAACTCATACCGTCGCATCGGATAATCATGACTGAAGCAGGTGGCTGGAGCACGATTGAATCAGACGAGGTATTCCTTCCCCTCCTCTCTGCTTTTGGCTCAGGAATCTCGACTGCGTCTACTTTAGCGCTGGGCTTGTGACAACAAATTTGGTCGATCATGGTTGACATATAGACATAACAGGGTGTCTTCACCTCGCTGATCGAGAACCTCGGTGTCAAAGATGTTCAATTCGAGGAACTGATCTCGTTAGATGCGGATACGATTCGTTCGTTAAGGTAAAGCCGTCCATCTACGCATCGTCATCTATCCCACCTCACCCAATCCAACTAACATATACAACCCAAACCAAACCAGCCCCGTCTACGGCGTCATCTTCCTCTTCAAATGGCTCCGCTCCCACCAACCCGAATCAACCGCCGCCCCAGCAGACGGCACCTACGACCCCTCAGCACCCGACTCGCTCTTCTTCGCCGCGCAAACAATCCAAAACGCCTGCGGCACGCAAGCCATCCTCTCCATAATCCTAAACCAAGATACCCCCTCCTCCTCCCCCGAAAACTCCATCCCGCCCATCGATATCGGCCCCGAACTCCGCTCCTTCAAAGACTTCACGACCGGCTTCCCCCCCGAACTCCGCGGCGAGGCGCTCTCGAACTCGGAAACCGTTCGAACGGCCCACAACGCATTCTCCAAGGCGAGTCCGTTCGTCGACGAAGTCGCTCGAGGACCGAATGACGGCGAAGGCGACGTCTACCATTTCATCGCGTATACGCCCGTCAACGGAAAACTGTACGAGTTGGACGGTTTGCAACCGTACCCGATCAACCACGGAGAGTGTCCTGCGGGCCAGTTTCCCGACAAGGTGATTGAGGTGCTGCAGCGGCGGATCGCGCGGTATCCGGAGGGCGAGACGAGGTTTAATTTGATGGCCGTGACGCGGGATTTGCGGATCCGGGCGCGCGAGTTCGGGGATCAGGAGATGTTGGAGAGGGAGGAGAGGAAGAGACGGGATTGGGCGTGGGAAAATACGTTGAGGAGGTCGAACTTTGTGGGATTCATTGGGGAGATCATGAAGGGGGTTACGGGGATGAAGGAGAGGGAGGGGAAGTTTGATGAGTGGGTGGGTGAGGCGCAGGTGGAGACGCAGAGGAAGTTGATGAGGGGGTGAGTCTTATTTTGGTTTGGTGATTGGGGATGTTGGGTTTACGGGATTGGGTTAGATGGTATGATCGGATGGATGAGTTGGTGGTTTGTCGATACCAGGTTGATCTACTGAGCATTATGGCGCTTGATCTACCGATGCTTGATACTCCGTACATTCTCGTATTAAGACTAGTACTTAGTTACTGATGCTGTCTCCCCAGACTCCTGTATGTACATGCACCGATACCAGAACATGAAAATGAAAATGAAAACCGTGAGATAAGCGCCGTATACCATGCTATTGAAATCCTGTTGAAGGAAAAGAAAAGCATTCGTCATGATCATAGTCATCATCACATCGACATCCCTCGTTTGGCAGCCAGTCAGGTTAATACTCAATAACCCGAGATTTGACTTGTTCAACCAGAGCTGCAGGCAATTCGTCTTCGCGCACCAGCTTCATCGACAGCAGATCCGCCCAGAAGAACATGGCCCGGTCCTGCGCGTACGCCAGGTAATCGAATTCATCCGACTCTTCGGCCTCGGCTTCCGTGACAGACGACCCGGTTGAGTGGGTGCGTTCGGTCTCCGTCGCCGAGTCGTCATGGCTGATGTGCGTGCCCGCTTCGTCGGCGGCGATGCCTTCCTCCATGCCCGGGGCTTTGGCTTGGACGATACCCCATGCCACCCACTGCGCCGAGTTGAAGACCCGCCACTGTCGCATTTCTTTCATCAAGGATTGGATTTCTCGCTCAGTCTTGGTTTCGTGAGCCCTTTCAGTCTCAGCCGCGTTCTGAGCTTCCATGTCCGGGCCGTCGTCTAGGCTAAATGGTGCCATAGACGTGCTGGTTGAAGACATTCCGCGCATGAGCGGAGTGATGGACGGGGAGGCCTGTCCGGCCAAAGCCGGTCGGTGAGTGAGGTAGGCGCTGATAAAGCGACGCTGCTGCTCCGGTGTCGGAAAGGCCTTGTTGTTGCATGCCCAGGACCGTTCTGGGTCGTGGTAGTTGTAGCACCACTCCGTCTGGGTTGGTCAGTCATAATGGTTCACGTAAGAGTTCGTAGACACACTCACGAAATGGTTGGCGAATTCAAATCCTGGAGTGTTCGCCGAAGCATACTCAAAATCAATGACTACTAGCTGCTTATGCTCATTCTCCGGGCGAAGCAGTGGCGATTCGGAGCTAGGTTCCATCCGCAGAAGGTTGCCGTATTGAGTCTGTCAAATTAGCCATGTGAACAATCCAACTCAACCAGGCCACTCACATCATTATGGGCAAAAACGAGCTGCCGCTTGATCTCATTGATCCCACCATGGCTGGAGACGAGCCACTGGCGATAGTTATCCACAGCCTTCCTGAAGGTAGGCCATGGGACCCCACAAACGAACCCTCGCCGTCTCCACGGCTCTGAGAGTGCCTTGATATCGTTGGTTTTGGAGCAGATCTCTTTGTCCAACCAGTTGGTGACCTTCTCGCACCGATCAACCCATTTGTCCCAGTTCTTGAACACCATCGGTCCGCCCTCTCGCTCCTCTTCCAGCAGGTCAATGCCCTCGTGGAGCTCTCGCATACGCTTGGCAATCTGCTTCATGGTAGCGGGATCCCGCAGATCTTCAAAGGTTAGCGGACGGGCATTGAAGTATTCTTCGAATCTGCCGTTGATGAACGTCCCAAGCACTTTCGGTCCGATGTTTTTCTTTCCGAGCCGACGAAGGATCTGCAGTTCATTCTCACGATCGATCAAATGATCCACCTGTGGACCGTAGATGCGCAGTAGGAGTTTGCTGGGGGAAAGTCAGACATGGCTCGAAAACGGCAGAGTACTGAGAACTCACGATGGGGGCTTCCGCGGCACCAGAGTGTATGAGCCGTCCTCGGCCTTGGGAGCCGGGATGTTCTGCGGTGGAGTGACAACATATACCGCGTTGGTCAATGCACCGCTGAGGCGAACGACCTCAATGTCACCGGCATACTCCATGGGAAGCTTACGCCACCCCTTGAGTTGCAGAGTATGGGTCAGGCGCATGATTTCGGTCTTGAACACCGTCCATGCATCCCGGTCCTTGGATCGCCTAATATTGGCGCCACTCTCACTTTCCTCGTCGTCTGCAGCGCCGCCAGTGTACGCGAGTGTCTTGGAGTTATCTAGCACCGCATCAACACTTGGGGCTGCCGAATCAAGGTCCGGATAGTCCGATTCAGACGCAGACCCTCTCCGCAGCCCCTTGGACCGATGACGTCGGCGGCCTGTGCGTTGGGTAGGTTGCTCAGACGCGCTGGTATCGCTGCGAGTGGTGGCGTATTGGAGGAGGATTTTCTCCAACCGATCCAAGGCAATGCCATTTTCCGCCGCGGGAGAAACGGTTTCTTCCAGGGGATATCCATCTACGACGGCCTCGTCATCCTCGTCGTCTCCGTCGCTGCCAGCCCCGTCCGTTTGTCCAAAGGCCTTCGGCTTGAGGTTCTTGCGCTTCGCCTGCTCACGCCGCAACCACTCGTACACCTGGTAAAACAGGATGCTTTGAGGATCCTCGTGGCCGTTCCTCCCACTCGAGTCTTTTTCATCCCGGGTTACAGGTTCCGTTGCGACGCTCGAGGTCTGGCTGGTCAAGGCTGCGGGGGAATACATAGGCGGTCGCGCCGATGATTTCTTGCTCAGCGAAGGGCGGTGCTTGCGGGGGGAGGCTCCATCCGTCGCGGGGGTAGAATGGCCATTTCCGGTGACGTGTCGGAATTTCTGGTACGCAAGGTCTAAACCGGTTCCCAGAATCGGGTTAAGTCCTTGTCGCGATTGATCAGAATCCATGAACCTTAGGAAGCTGAGGAATAAAGGGAGTGGGAATGAAAGAGGCGTGTGCAGAGGAGAGCGGACGAGGGGAGGGAAGCATGTGGAGAGGACACCGATAAGGAAATTGGGTAATTATGAACACAGTCGCGATGGGCCATCTAATCATCTGATCCGGTGTGGACCTCGGAAAAGAATGGAAATGCTACTCAGGCTACAAAGGAAAGGGAAAGTTGCGAGAAAATAAAAAAAGGGGCTTGAAGGATGCACGGGGAAGCCAAGGCTAAATTCAATTTCAACCTACCTTCAACGTCAGGACCAGAATCACCGTTCTGGTCAGTGAAGGAGGGCATGTCCAGTCGCACAGGCGGGGACAAAGAAAATGTTCCAGATCGGAGGCAGACCGAAGTTCTTGCCAGATGATTCGGGGTGTAGTGTGTCGCACAGGGGAGTGATGGCTTATAAGGACTGGAACGGAGGCCCGCAAAGAGGGCACTTGGACCAGGGACGGGATTGCGAGGAGACCCTGAATGACTTGCGGATAGAATTTGCTTGACCGAGAGAGCGAACGGGTGGTACCCGAATGATGGTTAGGCAGGTAGCCAAAAAAGAAAAGAGAGAAAAAAAAAAGCGAAGACCGGCTAAGTGGGGTGGATCGATAGGAGCGATCCAGAAATCCAGCCAACGGTCGGAGATAATCCCACAAAAAAGGTGTCCACCGGGAAGTCAGAAGCTTGGTAGGAGATTCAGAAAGGAAGTATGGAGGAAGCAGAGCCTGAAGTGGTGATATCACAGTACAGAGGTCGATGCAGGACGATGAAAGTAAAAGAGCATCCGTCCAGGTTGCAGTCAATGCAAAAGAGAAGGTGGCGAACTGACGAAATCTTCCCCTATCGTCGATGAAGAAGTCGGTGAGCTCAGGTGACTTGCCGCCACCAATCCGGCAATCTGTCACGGGCCACTTCACGGCCTCGTTGTTTGTCGCTCTTGCTCCGTTTCCTCGCTTCTCGTCAACTTTTACACGGTCATCTTCAAGCCTCAAATCTTACTCCGCACATAAGAGTGCATATGACGGGTGAATCCCCCGGCCATAGTGGCTGACCTGTCCGACCAAGTATGCTGCCAGATCCACCTTGTTTGTCCCCCCTGGAACCGACCAGGATCCAGAGGGGGATAGGATATTTCCTGGTTGGTTGTCCATCTCTGATAGATGATAGCATAGATAGTATAGATAGACAGATACTCCGTAGATAGAAAGACCGGGAGATGGATCCTTTGAATGGATCCAACAACCTCGGCGATTTTCCATCCGGCCCGTGGTACGGAATCAGGTACGAATCCGGTCATTGTCGCTTGGGGAAAGACGCTGATGGAGAAACACTAGCCCTAAAACAGCCGGTCTGACTGTGAAGTTATTATTATTATCATCTTCAACAAACACTCTAGTCCTCCCGTGAGGACATGAGGCAGTCAGATGCTCGGCACCATACACAAACTCGGTCGCGCAGGAGTCATACTGGTGAACTAAGATCATCATCCCGATGATCCAAGTAGGCCGGGTCTTGTCGCACAGGGAAAATGAGCATCTTATTCGACGAAATCATATTGATTTAGGCTGCAAAGGGCATTTGGTGGTGAGTTGTTGCGGAGAGAAGAAATAAAAGGAGGGGAGGAGAACGAAAGGCGCGCGTCTTATTTTCCTGGCGAAAGCGGGGAAGGCGGCCTGAGGCTGTCATTCCTGCACATGATCCCCCCCTGGCCCGTCTGCACGTTGACATATTCCTGCATTACGTGACACCCTTAGTCTGCCTGGTTCAGTCATAAGCATGAGGGTTTCTACGGAGTACTCCGCATCCGCCATCCCCATCGCTCGAGCCTTAGTGATACGTCACGCTCCACACCCGATATCCTTTCCCGGCCTCGTTGACTTCGGGCGCGCCCTCAACGAACGTGGAATCCGCATACTGCAGAGTATACCCCTTTCCATTCCCAAGGAATGTGATTGTGATGTCGGCCGCCTCCTCGCGTCGATCCGATGCTAGCAACGCTCCGTGCGACCCTAACCATTTGCCATCGAGCGCGCTGGAGACGTGGAAAAGTTGGCTGTCCTCATTACCAGAGTGGTGAATTACCCAGCGTTGGCTCATCTCTCGATGGTCGGGATGAGCGCGACTGGTACTGATCCGGCTGGCATTGCCTGCGTTGGTGAGGGCCTGACCGAACCGCTCAAATACCAAATACCGGCCTTCGGTCAGGTATCCTACACATTCCTTGTATCCGTCTTCGAACCATAAGGACTCGCTGATGTTTCCCTGCTTGCCATAAGGCACCGGAGGACGTTGACCAACGTGTGCTGCCACACACTTGGCTGTGCCCACATATTTCCCGAGAAGCGTAGGAGGCTTCTTCACATCAGGAATGTCGGGGATACTAGTATCAGGCTGATCACGAAGGTTAGCCACTGCTTGGCATCATGGCTCGAGCTATTTCAACCCACATGGTTCAGATCCAACGCGCTGACAAGGTTGGACATGTGTTCTCGACGCCAGTGAACCATTTCATCGGTGCGGATGTTCTTGTATCCCTTGGCCGTCAACCATTCCTCGAGAAAGAGAATCTGGGAGTTATGGTCGGCTCGTTCGGTGAAGACTCGATTGCCACGAGTCCACGGAGACACCATGTAAAATGGAACCCGGACGCCTACGAGAATTGAATTTATCAGTATCATCTTCTATATAGCGGACCTGACATCGAAAGGCTCACCAGGTCCGACGTAGATCTTTCCGAATTTCCCATACGGATCCTCCATCCACTCGCCCGGAGTATCCTCGGGAGAGTGGAACGGCACAACATGGTCTCCAAAGCCTCCAGATTCTGTCGTGGATTAGCCGACGGCCAAGCACAAAGCGAGTCGGGTCCTTACCGTCATAGCTAATCATCAACAGAGTGGATGAGTACTTGGGGCTCTTCACCACTGCATCGACAACTTGTTTCTGAAGCCACGCGCCCTCTATCGGCATGTACGGCGGATGCTCTGACAATTCTGCCGGACCAATGATAAAACTTACCTCTGGGAGAGTCCCGTTAGCAGCGGCCCCGTAGAATGCCTCAAGTCCTAATGTTGCCAATCCCTTTTTGGCTAGCGGAGAGGTCGCAGACGCGTTTTGGAATTGCTCAAACCAGGCAAGAGGATTATCATCGAAATTGTCTGTTTCCTGGTATACCTGCCACGAAACACCTTCTTTTTCGTATACGTCGAAAATTGTCTTCCACTTAAGAGGGTAGCAGTTGATCTTACGGCTATCGCAACCTGACACAAGTCAGTTCAGAAAAAGAGCTGCCCTGATTTCTTTCCTCACCAGGAGTTTCGTTATTGTCAATATAAACTCCTCCCTGGTCTGGCGTCTGAGGGCCGCCCGGAACATTGACCGAGCCGCTGACCAAGGTGACCCGGTTGGGATTGGTAGAAGTCACTTGAGATTCCTGGAGACAATTAGCTAATGTGATAGTGATCATTCTATCCTACACTCCACTCTTACCTGATACATATCACCCGTTGTCCAACCATCGGCAACGGCAAACTGAACGGGCACATCATTCCGTTTGAGATAGCCCCAGCTCCAAGGGGTGTTATTTCTCGCCCAATTGTCATTTAAATCATGGTTCAATGATGCCTGGTTCTCTTCGTAGCCGTTACTCCCGGCTACCATGCACTGAATGGCATCGTTCCAGTATCCACCCCTGTACCCAAGATACCATGGCAACAGTGTTTTTGCCTCCGTGGACATATCGGGGTCCACCTTTCTAAGTGATTTTAGCAGTGTCCTTGACATCTTGAAAGTGATAGAACTGACTGATGCCAAACAGGTATACCATCATCATTGACCTGTACGTTCGGATCATTGAAACCACGGACTCCAGCCATGGTACCGAAGTACTAAATTCATCATTAGTTCAATGTTATGACGTTTAGCAAATGAAGTTTAGAGCCCATACATTGTTGAATGACCGGTTCTCCTGCATGAAGATGACTACATGCTTGATGTCCTTCAAGGTATCGGCGCCCACCAGTCCGCTCCAGAGAAGCAGGACCAAGGCACCCAGTAGCATCGACATGAGGGGACTGGGTTCTTTTTCTTTCCAGTGGACAAAAAATCTCCGAAATGTTGGATGCCCAAGCGGGGATAGTATTTCGAAAGGACCGACAGGAAGGATGGTTTAAATATCGACCGGATGCATAGTTACAATGCAGGCATTATGTATCGGCTGTAACCGATGCAACAATGATCTGTCGATTTAGTCAATAAGATAACAAACAAAGAATTGGATGCAACTCGAATGAGCGTGATGCGCATTGCAAATCGGATTCGACGCGTCAGAGGAAGAGTAACCGAGACATAACACTTGCATTTCAGGGTGTTAACTAGGTCTGACGGAGTCCTCGGAGACCCTGGCGAGCCATTGAGGCGTCAGAGATTGATTAACGGAAAGGATTATTTGTCCTCAGCCCAGACCTAAGCTTTGAAGCTAAGGTAGGGGGAAAGCGACAATGTGGGAGATGGAGACACCGTCGCCTCGGTTGGAGCTGCGGACAGGGCACGTGCTGGGATGGATGGTGCCTGAGGACTAAGTTAGTGGATTCCTTCATCTTACGGGGCTGCGGTGTTGGGATGGGTTTCACTGCAGATCAACGCGCTCAATGTAACCTTCTCCACTCGAACGGATGACGGGAGATAAATACGTTGATAATGAAAACTCGTTCTTAGGTGGAAGATGGTAATATTAAGATCATGGTTTCGATGACTATTTTGATCAGGCAATAATCGGACTTGAGTAACGAGGCCTTTTAGCGGACATGGAGCGAAGACCCAGTCGTCGAAAGAAAGCTCGCCAGCTCGAAGAACATTTTATGTTAGAGGCCTCACGGTCCAATGGCAACGATAATCAAACAGCAGAGCGAGAAAGCCGCAGAATGTATAGAACATTGCTCTACCTGTTGATCGTCTGCTTTTTCATAGTGCTTGTGTTTCTGTATCAGTCCAGTTTCGGGGCTCATATGTTCTCACAGCTAAAAATCCCTGCCCAACTGACTTCTCCGCGAGCTGGAGATCCAGACGCCTTTCGTCCAAGAATAGAACTACATCCAGAGGACCATGCATACCGGGATTCAGTCACACAATATTTCGAATGGAATGTGACATCTGACTACTTGCGTCTAGACGGAGTACTCAAGCAGGTCTATCTCATTAATGGTGCGCAATCCAATTCCATCCATTATACTAGCACTTCTAAGTCGGTATGAATTAATAGGCTTATTCCCCGGTCCCACAATCGAAGCTCGCTCTGGCGACACTCTTACAATCAATGTAACGAACAACCTACAAGTGCCTATCTCAGTTCACTGGCATGGTCTACACATCCCGAGTAATCCACGCCGTCGCTAGCTTCAAATCCATAAAACCAACTAACAGCCCGATAGATCATATGGATGGTGTACCTGCCGTGACACAATGGCCCATCTCTCCCGGGTCAATCTTTACCTACCGTTTTACAATCCCCCTCGACCAAAGCGGTACCTTCTGGTACCATGCCCACTCCGGCGTAGCCAGGGCAGACGGTCTCTATGGGGGAATAGTCGTACATGCTCCCGTTCCCAAAACCGCTACTCGCGGGCGCATGGCTCGACCATTGGTTTTGTACGAGAAAGAATTCCTTCTTCTAGTTGGGGATTGGTACCATCAACCTGCGGAGGAGGTTTTAGCTTGGTTTATGAGTATTGAGTCATTTGGAAATGAGGTATGTTTCGATCGAGCTAGGTATTTACATGCTATGGATGATAAGGAGCTAATAGAAAAGACTAGCCGGTTCCCGATTCCTTGCTTTTGAATGGAGTTGGGGCATTCAATTGCTCAATGGCAGTCCCTGCTCGGCCGGTGGACTGTGTTCAGCAAGAGATGGATCTAACTTATTTGAATGTAGAAGCTGGTATGAGATATAGGCTACGAGTAGTCAACACAGGGTGAGTTTGCTTATCCACCTTTTGGCTCGGGTATTAGAGTCTAAAGAGTATTCACTGTGCTGCTGGTGGCTAACTCGCTGGTATGAGCGCAGCTCTCTAGCAGGGTTTACCTTATCCCTTGAAAACCACCTATTCCGCCTCCTTCAAGTCGACAATATAGACATTGAGCCTCAAAAGCCTAGCTCAGAAGTCGGGATCCTTTATCCAGGACAACGCATAGATATTCTCGTCGAGCCGTCTCATAACAAAGCCCTCCAGTCTTCATTGACAATCCACTTAGACGAAGAGTAGGTAGCCCTATACGACTTGGCTTGCAACCACTGACAAAAAGTACTCTTGATACTTTAGCTGCTTTAACATGCCTAACCTGGCCTTAACCCCTATCCAAACATTTCTTATATCTCATTCGGATGAGAGAGACCATTCTCATTCTCATTCTAATCCTCGTTCTCATGGCCTCATCAACGCTGATATCCCGCCCCTCGACATATCTCGCATTCCATCATCCCAAGAAGCCCTTTCCCGCCTTTACCAATCCCGCGGCCTGACCCCCCAAACCCATGTCGTGTACACGAAGGTCGAGAAACTGTCAATAAAGCATAACATCCCCTACGGATTCTTCAACCGTACGAGCTGGGCTCCGCAATGTGACCCCCCACTCCCACTATCCATACTTCCGAAAGAGGAATGGGACGAAAACCAGTTCTCGATCACTACGACATCGATGAACGATAGCAACGCCGACACCGTTTGGGTAGATCTGGTCGTGAATAATCTAGATGAGGGAGGACATCCGTTTCATTTGGTATTTTCATCCTTACCTCTTTCTTTCCTTTCTCTTTTCCATTCAAGATCTTTTTGCGTGGATAGACTAAATAAGTATATTCCAAACTAACAACGACATGATAAACTATTTAGCATGGCCATCATTTCTATATCCTCCGCGTCCATGAAGCTTCGATTGGATGGGGTTCATTCAATCCCTTCGAAACCAAGAATCCAAGTGGCCTATCCGATCAAGACCAGCACCCTGATGGGTATGATTTCTCGCACGCAATGCTTCGAGATACAGTGTATATTCCCCGACGGGGCTACGCAATTATACGCTTCCAAGCTAAGAACCCTGGTGTGTGGATGTTTCATTGCCATATCGTTTGGCATCTAGCGAGTGGCATGGCGATGCTGGTGCATGTTCTAGATTAGGGCTTCCTTATTCTATAGAATCTGGCTAGTTAGGAGGTGAAATAGTGATTGATTCATTTAACACTTGATGTGAATAGAGACCTAAAGTAAATCAACCAGGGAGCATCCGAAAATCATACAGAAATCGAAAATCAAGATGAAGACAATGTCTTCACCAGCCGCCAAATCGCAAGGTTGTTAGATGCCCTAAATGGGTTGATCCATCCTCTTTCACACCCTGCACCTCCAAGTCTTGCAAAATCTCATCGAGGTATGTAGCTACGCCACTCAGATGGATTATCTGTGCAATGATATGATGAATAGCGAGAAGCCGCGGAGAGGGCGCGTCGATGGTAGGACTGAATGTCAATGTGCGGGTGACTGGAAACAACGAGTCACGCAGACAGGCAAATTGCTGGATCGACTCAATCGTATATTGATTCGGTATTCCTGTCGGCTCGAAGCATATCTGAAAGTCACCAAATAGACGATGATACTTGTGCGCTAGAGTAAGAGCATTCGAAGGACTGTGGATCTTCGCGCCGTCAATGAGGTCGGAAACGCCGGGTTCGAACCAATCCAGCATGCGGAGTACGTTTTTCTTCGATTCGCTCTAGAACGATCTATGTTAGAAAAGAGCAATGTGTGATCTTTCTAGCTCAACACATACTATATCGAAGTCCCCGGGGGCGACCTTTGTTATGCGGTAAGGCAAAATGTGACTGATTTTCAGGTACGCAAATCGGATATGTGATTCGTTTTTCAGCAGCTCTCCGTCATTGTCCTTGCACTCCTCTCCTTGCTGGTCAAACCGCCTTTCAGCTTCCTTCTTGTCGAACTTTCGCGAGACCACACAGCGGCAGCGATCACGCTCAAAACATTGTTGCCGTAGGATTGAGATTGATTGTGGTGTGTCAGGAGACGAAGAAGGCTCTATCGAGGCGGCTAGTGACTCTGCTGTGGGCTGTGGTGTCTTTCCAGACTTGACTAAAGTAGCGCAGTTAGTTACTAAATGACCTTTGCACCATAAATTTATGAGTCCTAACGTACTTGGGAGAAGAAAGTGGGTAATGAAATTCTCAGCGAAATCTTCAATGGCGTTCGTAAGGTCGCTCTTCTGTTGTGAATCCCAGGAATCGAAATCGTCAAAGTATGATACCAGGGCGGCCATAATATCCGAACCAACGGAGATATCCGTGTTTGCAGATAGAACACCATAGATGTAAGCGAGAAAGAACATCAAGAAGGCATCTTTGCAAACAACATGCTGGAATGTGGCCTGGATGAGTATCGAAGGCTTGTAGCGATTCCGTGTCGTCCGCTCGAGGCCATAGTAATGGATGAAGGTATCGAGGAGGGAAGCTGCCCGTAGCCTTAGATGCGAGGGTAATGATAAAGGAGGAGTAGTATTCAATGCCTCGATAAACGAGGACTGAAATTGTTGAAAAGGCATTTTTCTGTACCCCGCAGACTCACTCGTGGCACTTGAGACAAAAAGGACAAAACAAAACAAGTCGGACTGCACGTGTCGAGTGCCCTTTTCAGTCTCCAAGTCACACCTCCCAGGCCCCTTCCTTCCTCCTTCTCTTTCTCCCCCTCTCTCATTGCCCTCTTCTGTTCTCTTTCCTTCGTTCTCGTCTTTTGAGATCTAGTCAACTTACACCCTTGTTGAACATATAGATAGTTCTCTCATCGTCAATTACACTGCCATTGCAAAAGACAGACTTTTATTTCCTATCTGGTAAGTGATAACTGTGTTGTACAGCCACCAAGCTCTAATATGCTTTAAATAGGTTTCATCCTCCCATCAGAGAAAAAGCCCACGATGCTTGCCCAGAGTCGAGTTCTTACGCTCCAGAGTCCCACAACATCGTCTAGGTCTACGCCTGTGGTTGCGAGGAAATAAATCGAACCTTCGTGCAATGCATTCCCTCCCGCGGGACCAATGTGAGATGCGAGCCGTTAGATCATCCAGTGTTTGAACATGTCAACAACCCATGCCCCGATCAGTAGGCCCAAGTCCCACACATCTCAGAAAGAGACTTCGGTCCCCATTATGGTTGTCAAATGTTGATCTCGTGATAGGAACCGTCATCTCACTGAGTCAGCTTCTGATGGATGAGAGAAGCTCGCCATACCGTAGAAGGATTTCCGACGGGGTTGGGAAACCGGGGCTAATGTTGCAAAATCCGAAATCCGACGGGAATCGCGCCTTGCCTGTCTCTTATCCTTTCTTCGACGTGTCAGGTAATCCCAAACCCAACCCTGTCATTTCATTTTCAATCTTATACTTTCTAGACAGCCATGGATTCCGATACAGCAGCTGTATCCGCGAAACCCGCAGCCTATGGACAAAGTGGCAATAACTGCGTTCGAGAAAAGTGCAGATGTATGATTCGAAATGCCATTGACGGTTGCGAAAGGTAACTGATAGCTTTCGGTTTGTATACTAGAAAGGCGTCACTAAAGCTCCCCACAGGTGCTTCCGATTTAGAAAAGAATGCCGCCCGTCCCCTACCATCAGCAAGCGGAATACCAAGCGCTCAACCGCTCCAAGATCCGCTTGGCTAAAGGCGAATGTCGACAGTGTCATTTCTCCATTGAATGAAGATCAAAATGGCCCTGATAAGCTGATTCTCCAAAATCTTACACCTACAAACCCAGGCGGACCCGCTGCCTTGGGGAAGACGGCTTGCGGAATTGACGATTCGTCCGCCACGGCAACCAGTGCGACTGGGCCCAATTCCGCATCACTCCACCAGTCTCCAGCTTTGAGTTCATGTCATGACTCGTCGGACGTAGAGTCTTCGTCTTTTGAAGCTGAGGATGCACTCAATCGATTCCATAATTTCAGTGCCACTCAATACCCTTTCATATACATTGCACAGATATCTCCGCCCGAGAACTTGAACAAACCGACCTTTTCTTTGGTTGTGTATCAAGGCTGTCTCCTGTCTCCCATCGTCTACACAAAAAGCACTCGGTTTTCGGGTGAGAGAAACAATTGCTCAGAGAATGCTGATTGAAAATGAGAGATCTGTCGACCTACTCTTGGGATTGCTAGTCTATATTGGAAGGGCCAACCCCCTGATGCAAGACCGTAGACCCTACTTCTCTCTATTTACCCAAATGGCCCAGGCTGTGGTATTCGATCTTGGTCTTAACAAGCCCATTCAAACAGAATCGGTCAATGTTCTTACATGTGACCCGAAGGAATCCAATCAGAATGGGCCTAATGCGCCAGGAGCGCCTAACCCCTCGTCAATGCAAATACGGACGATGGAAGAAAGGCGAGCTGTTCTTGGCTGCTACTATATTACATCGATGTGAGTCGTCTTATTCAGCCCCGCTAATTGAATTATGGACTGATCATTTTGCAGTATTGCGGCCTATGGACAGAGGATTGATGGACTATGCTGGACTTCCCACATGGCCCAATCTCTTCAGATGCTCACTGAGAAGCCCGAGTGTTCTCAAGATACCGTATTTGTTCTATTGGTTCGTACTCGATTGATCGCCGACAAAATGACCCAGCTGTCACGCAATGATAAACCTTCCAAGACGTCACCTCCACCTGTATTCTTCATGAGGGCCTTGGATGCTGAGCTTCAGGAGATACAACGCAATATTTCCAATGGGACGGAGCGAACAGCTAAAGTATATGACCGTATATGCTTTGGTTAAATTAGTAACGTCAGGCAGTTCCATACGCTAGCCAGCTCAGCATTCATCATACGCAGCTCGTTATCTGGGACAGTGCCCTCGTTAGTGGCAGCTCATTGGCTGATATGTTGACAACTGACCCTTCACGGTTGGAAGGCCTTTTCAAATGCCTTGAGGCCGCCAAGACGTGGTTCGATCTAGCTTTCAAGATATCAGCCACAAACTACGCATTTCCTTTGTTCTCTCCTCTCACAGACTTTATTTCTGCTCTGCACAAGCTTTCAACAGTGCAGGTATCTGGATGGAGCGTAGAACTCGTCAGACATACTTTAGGTTTGTCCCAGGTGCTCCAAAACTTGGCTCAAAATTTCGAACAAGCAAAGTCCCAGACAAGACTGGCTGGCGACTTTCTCGCCGGAGACATCTACGAAAATGGGGTCGCATTCATGAAATACATGAAGAATATGGTGGAATCTCGCTCGACGGAAGTATTTACTCCAGGCTCACAGGCTGAAGGCGTTGCTACACAAGAAATCGGCGCCGGGTACAGGGACCAAAATGATGAGGCAGTGATGTTTTCTATAGATTATTCTGATGATTCCTGGTTAACAGAATTATTGGCAACAGTGCAGTATTAGTATGGACGACAAAGCAACACATCAAATCCTTCCCACCATAGCACCATAAGAAATTTATCTTTCGTGGCCTAAATGAAGAGAAAAAGAATCTCGTCAACTTATTTAGTGCAATCTTCGCCATATTGCTGGACCTTTGTGGACCAATGAGTAAGCAGCAAATCCCGACGGATTTCGGGTTTGAGAGACATCAACTCCGCCAAGAATTTGTTGGCTAGGGGAGGAAATGTTCATATATAAACCCAGAGACTGAACTTGTTCCTCGCTTTCAATGTATTTGCTACTTTCTGTATCGTTCAACACTGAACGTGAACTGTCCTGAAACACCATGGCTGAGTCTCCCAGAGATTCCGAGAAACATGAGCCTCAATTGGAAGAACAACCTGATTCGAAATCTTTTCCAGATGTCTTAGAGGACTCTACTGATGCAAAGCCGGAGTTTCTCTCGGGCATCAAAATGGCTATGGTTATATCGGCTGTGACTATGATGGCATTTCTCACCTTGCTAGATCAGTCAATTATTGGAACGGTTAGTACATCCAGTGGCATTTGCGCACTGTTTAGCTAATAGAACCCTAGGCCATCCCTCGAATCACAAGCCAATTCCACTCACTCCCCGATATTGGGTGGTACGGTAGTGCATATCAATTAGCCAGGTAGGATCTGTGACCTTCGAACCTGGGGCAGAGCATTGACCCCTTCAGTGCCTCTTTGCAGCCGCTTTCCGGAAAACTTTATACCTATTTTCCCTTGAAGGTAACGTTATACTCCGCTTAAAAACAATAGCAGAGGCTTATATGTAATTTTACTGATTATTAGCGTTGACCAATGGACCTATCTAGCCTTTGTGGCGTTATTTGAACTGGGCTCATTACTATGTGGAGTTGCTACATCATCGAAAATGCTCATCATCGGACGTGCCGTGGCTGGAATGGGGGCTTCGGGCTTGAACAATGGTGCCTTGACTATCCTAGCAAGCATTGCTCCACCGGAGAAACGACCGTGTGAGTGCATATAAACTCCACGAGGAACATGAAGACTAACTTTCGGCAACGCAGTTTATATGGGAATCATTACGGGCGGTTAGCCAAATCTCGATCGTTAATATAGCAACCAACTAACAATGAACACCAGTCGCCCAACCTGGTGTCGTTCTGGGTCCGCTGCTGGGAGGAGTGTTCACGGAGCATGCTACTTGGCGATGGTGTACGTCTGTGCCACACTCCTTTTTCTATCTCATTTGGACTGACCTGAATAGGCTTTTATATCAATCTTCCTATCTGTGCTGTAATAGCCGGCTGCCTTGTGTTTTTCAAAATCCCCGAGCAAACGACCAAGCCCCCGTTTCTCTCGGTCTTCAACAAACTACCATCCAAGCTCGACCTCATTGGTTTTCTTCTCATTGCGCCCTCTGCCATCCAATTGCTCCTAGCTCTGGAGTACGGTGATAACCAGTTTGCCTGGAACAGCTCGACAGTCATCGGCCTCTTCTGCGGATCTGGTGCGACTTTCCTGGTGTTTCTTTACTGGGAGCACCGCCGAGGCAACGAGGCAATGGTTCCATTACATATGCTCCGGCAGCGAATTGTCTGGACGAGCTGCGTGAATCAGACCTCCATCATGGTCATGATGATATGCGCATCCTATTTCTTACCGACGTACTTTCAGGCCGTGAAAGGCGTTTCTCCCACGATCAGCGGGGTGGACCTCCTCCCTAGCATTATCAGCCAGCTGGAGGCATCCGTGGTCTGTGGAGCTCTAGGTATGTCTTTTCTCACGTAGTGCATGGCCTACCTTTGCTGAGCATTTCGATGTTTGTATAGTCGGCAAACTAGGCTACTATCTCCCATGGTCCGTCGCCTCAGGGACTATCACTGCTGTCGGTAATGGATTGATCTCCACGTTCTCGCCGTCCACATCAACCGGGAAATGGATCGGATATCAGATCCTTGTGGGCGCAGGCCGCGGATTAGGGTTTCAAGCGGTACGTCTTCCACCCACTTGCGCATGCGCCCTCCAACTGACATCTGACAAGCCAATCATCGCCATTCAAAACGCCTTGCCACCTGCGGAGATCGCCGTGGGTATGGCTCTTCTCATGTTCTTCCAGACGCTGGGGGCCTCCGTATTCTTGGTTGTTGCCAACGTGATATTT